GCAAGAGGCAGAGACCACGAAGCAACTAATTTCAGAATGACATTTCTCCCATGAATGCCTAAACCACTTACCTACTCAGGCCACTTATTATCATCAGGCAGGGTACTGTAAATTTTTCCTGATTTTCTGAATTTGGAAAACTCCTGATAAAGTCATTATCCATTTCTTTGACATTTCAACAAATCTTTCTTTAAAGGAATCAGACTACCACCTAAGAATGTTTCTATCAGCTCCTGTGACACAGTAACTAATACCAGGACAAGTACCAATTCCGTGTGATTTTAAGCCTGAACAGCTTTAACAAGTGTGCGGAAGGAGAAATGAAACATCTTAGTGAACACACTGCAAAATATTTCATAAAATACCTTTACAGATAGCTCAGCATTTATTCCCACTTGCACTTAATAGGGATTTCCAGGGAGAAGTAGAGAGTCCTGTAAATCGTCTTTCCAGACTATGTACAAAACGATCTACAACTTAGGCTCATAATGCATAATGAAAGCTTTTACTTTATAAATACAGCCCTGCATGACTATAAAAGTTATAAACAACTCAGGGAAAAGAAAAAGAAGACTGCCTCTGTATCAGGGGAAGGGATTTTTACCACAGTAAAAATTAAGCCTACTTGGCTGCTACAAGCAACAGGAAACAAACAAACAAATATCACATAGCAGATGTTCAGCAGATCATGTTTAGCTCCCTACAAACCTCTAAATCTGCTTTTACAAGCCTATCGGGCTTGACAGACATCAGTATGCATGCAATATATGCAGAATACATGCACGTATGCAACCGATACAACATGCTCCAGCCCACAGCTGCAGGTGCCCGAAGGATGCATACAAGAAGATCCTAGAAAATTCAGGGTCACGTACAGTACCAGGCTACAGAACCAACAGACTAGAGCAAACACTGGTTTTCCCCATCCCAATGTTGTAACAGGCTAGTGGGAGAAATTCAAGACTCATGAAAAACCCTAATTTCTGTACTAAGTGCTTGTGTCAAGCATGGAGAGCCCTGAAGTTTCTCTGAAGTGACTAACTGGGCACTTGAGAGCTGTTTTAGCTGTTGGATTTTACCCTGGTGTGTAAGGTAATTAAGATGAAACTAATGCATTCTAGATGGGAAGCAGGAGTAAAACTTCAGGAAAACACAAGTCTTATGCTAACAAGATACACTCCTAAGTGAACATGTTATACCTCAGTGTCTTTTGTTTGCACTTGAAGTTTTCTTCATGGAGACAAAATTTATATGCTAACCTGAGGAATTACGTGTATCATCAGGAACCACTAGATAGGCATTGTCTGTCTTTACCACTGCCTTAGTCTGAAACAACTTTTAACTAATTTACTCACAAGGATTAACTAATTTAGTTGACACATTCACTCCCTGTGGACAGGGACCAACCGCTTTAATTTGAAAAAAAATACACCTTTTTCCCCCCACTAAAGTCCCCACACTCGTTTGATAAACCTCATTAAACCGTTTAAAAATATATAGCATAATACTGCCATAGGAGCCACAGTGGAAAAAGAGTATCCTGCAAACATGAAATACCAAATGTGACACGGCATTTATGATTACATACTTTCCTTATTTACTAATGAACAACAGAGAGTGTAAGGGGAAAGACAGGAAATTGAAAAGGATGAAGACGAGAAAGGAGAAAAAATATAACTATTCCCATTAGAAGTCATACTAGATTATTAATGTTCTGAAAATAGGAAAAGGTAGGTACTAGTCACAGTAAAAAAAAAAGCTAAAGTTGTTGAAGGAAGAAAACCCCAATGCACTTCAACGCAAACCAAAAAGAATTTAAGTTGAACAATTTCAAACATGGCAAATGTTTTGTCATACACTGGCATGCTCTGGGATTAGGATATGACATGAGCCACAATACAGAAGTACATACAAAACTCACCCACCATACTTAAAAGTAGAAGTGGTTCAACAAATGCAGAAATTGAAAAAGAAGCCAAGATTCAGCTTTGATAGATCTGAAGAGTTGCAGTATTCCACCAGGAAAAAAAAACATTTTTTTCATGATGACATGATGCTGACTAAGCTTTACTCTAGTAATTCCTTGTAACTGCAAAAAGTTTTTCTGTGATGCATCCCTAGTTAAGAAATATTTCTCTTGCACTTTGACAAGTATGGAACTTCTTCAGAAACTCGCTAGCTTGCAGTTTTGAAGCATACTGTCAGTTGTGCACTGACTCATCTTCAAAAAAGGAGGGGAACCATGGCAGAAAGTAAAACAAAATTGTAACAATAATGCCAGTTATAAGCAAGTCAGATAAATACACTCACTCGCCTTTTACAATTCCCCATTAAAACACCAGCCTTGCTAACATCAGCAAGGCAAATAAACTCCCCAAAAAATCAGCTTATTAAAATCAAGCCTGTATAACTTCTATCAATAAAAAGCTCAGTGTCTCAAGGAAACATCTATTTCTCTCCTACACTTCTAATAGAAGACACTAACTTAAGATCATATTACAATAACAAGGGCTTTGTTAGACTTATCCACCCTGTGCAACATAATCATGTAGCTTTCAGAAGAACAGTTGCCATGCTTTTTCCTCCACCAACAAAATTAGTATGTGATCCTATTTAGATACCTAGAAAGCACCAAACTCCATGCAAGAGATATTCTAGTACTGATTGCTTGTTTAGCCAAAATGGAAACTAGTTTCACAGAATTCTAGTAAACATGAGAAGAGTTAAAAAAAGACAAAAATAAGCATAACACAAGGCTCTGGAATAAAAGACTCTAGAATAATACAGAGAGCTCTGTTTCTGCTTCATATGGAGGTGGATGCACTGCACTATGGAGTCACTAGGCTTCCCCTGTGTAGTAAACTCTAAGCATATAACCAAGGATGCATTTCTCCTTGCTTTTTCATACCCAAGTTATAATTCAGATCATACTGAAAAATTACAGCTGTTACTTTTTTATTTCTCTTCAGCAAACTGTCAACTTTGATTTTGTTAGGGTAATGTACTTGCCAGTCAGTACTGCAAAGTATTAGAAAACAAAAAAATTTAAGGAAAGCTCCTTCAGAGGTCAAGCACACCCAAGTATTACAATTTCAGAGTGACATTAAAGACATTTAGGAAGGAGATCCTCAAGCCTGCTTTTAGAATCATGGACAAATGTAGGGAGAACACTCCAAAACCAAAATTCTAGAGCTGAAAGAACCTAATGTATGAAGTACTATGACCACTAAGTGCTAGTAACATGTACAGAGCACCTATGATTGGATGAATAGGTAACGGATGGAACTCTCCTTGTGGTAGAGGCATGAGGCGATGAACTGATTGGTTTTTAACTCTCTCCATGAACATACACAGTGTTGCTAATTTACAGCAACTTGAAAACTCACAGCAAAGTCTTCATTAACACACAATTTACAGGACATAAGAAGTAAATTTAGAGTACTGATGGCTTTTTCAGTTAAGCAGTTACACACAACTTACTCCTGCATACTAACTCACTCTTTGCTGAGACGTAGGCTTCCATGTAGTTTAGGCTCTCATCTATAAAAAGTTCAGTTGTTTACAGAAGATTGCCCACATTTTTTAATATAACAGTGCCAATACTTGTCTGTCTTAATCTGCTGGCACTCTGAAATAACAGAGAAATACGAACTGCTAAAAACCTGACTCCTTTGCTAAAATTTGAACTTTCAAACATACAACATTCCTTCACTCAAAAGCTGGAAGAGCAAGGGAGATCCTCCCTTTTGACTCACCAAAGCCAAAATAAACAGCTGCTTTTGATCAGTGTCTAGATAGGTAGATATCTCTGCCCAAATCCCATGGACAGGCTCCTTTGAAGACTTCTGCAGTTCACAAAGCAGTATGACACTGTTTTTTAAGAGTGCCATACATAGAGAACGGGCAAGAAATCATGCCTGCAACACAAAGAGTTCCCATTTTATGACTGTCCTTCTGCAGGTACGCACCAAAGGGCTGTGGACTCACTGAAAGAATGAATGATGAATTTTTTTGTAACTTGTGTTATAAAGGAGATTGAACAGATTATTACAATCAACCAGAGGAAGCTGCAAATTTCACCAAACAAATCTCAACTCTGGCACTCATCTGAAAGCATTTCTGGGAGGTTTTAAGCATTCCAATACCACCCATAAGAACCTTGCACAAGGGCGTTAATACTGATGACAAAGTAGATTTTTCAGGACTCAAGAGTAATTTATTTTGTAACAGCTTTTTCCCAACTCTTTTGCTTACTGCTCCAGCCTGAACTATTTCTCCACAGCAGAAAGAAGGCACAAACAACTCACAAAGACCCATGCCTTTCCAGATCACCATTGAATCCCTCCCGGCATTCGCAACTGACTGTTCTCCTGACTCCTGCAGATCCTCAGTGTGGAAAACACTGCCGTACGACTTAGAAGCTGCCGGTGGCCAAAGGCCTAGCTGTCAGCTCTTCAAAGTCGCACAGAGCAGTAAGGCAGGGCCATTCGGAGGGACCCATGTTCACACACAGGCAGCACATCTCTAGCACGTTTTCACCTCGCAGCATTATCCGTGCACACCAACACACAGGAAAACCTCCGGGAGATGCGCTGCGAGCCCTCCCGAGCCAGGAAGGACTCTCCGCTACCAAGAGCTCCAGTAAGGCGGCAGGACCCCAGCAGACCCTGCGGCGGCTGCAGGCAGCCGGTGCCAGCCGATCCCCAGCCTCCCGGGGAGGAGCAGGAAGCGCAGCCGGCGCGGCTCCCAGCCGCTAGCTCCCGGCCGCTGCCCCCCCGACACACCCCCTTCGGCAGCGGTTCGCAGCTCCCACGGGGGCTGCTGACACCAGGCCGGCTCGCCCAAAGGGGGACACCCCGGCCCGCGCAGAGCCCGGCTCCCTCCTACCGCCGCCGCACAGCGGCTGCTTTCCAGCCCACCCCCCATCCCTCCCACGCGGAGTGGAGCTGCCGGCCCTGCCTGGGCGGCGCGGAGGGGACGGCCCCGTCCCCCGCGGTTACCTTCCCGGTACTTCTTGCGCAGCCGCCGGTGGACGCTCTTCACCACCCCCGACAGCTTCTCCTGCTCCAGCTTCCGCTCCTGCTCCGGGGGCTGCTGCGGCGGCAGGGGAGCAGTGGCGGCGGCGGCAGTCCCGCCGGGCCGCGGCCGTGGCTGTGGAACGGCCTCCATGGTGTAACTGCTGCTCCGCCGCGCGCAGCCCGGCTGAGGGGGAGGCGTGAGCGCCGGGCACTATGGCAAGGGCGGGCATGCGCTTGCTCCGCCCGCTCGGCATGCCGGGAGATGGAGTCCGCTGCCGGCGGGCGGGCCGAGGAGCTGGGCGCCCAGTGGCCTGTGGCTGAGAGTGCGGTGTTTGCCGCGCAGCGGGAGTTCAGGGCCTGAGGGCTTGGCGATTCCAAAACTTTATCAGGTACGGAGCAGGTAGCCCTGGGTGCTTGACGGACTAGTGCAAGAATTAGGTGAAAAAACATGAAGGGTCCAGGGACAGTGCGAATTCCTGAAGGGAATATCTGAAGGGGGCCCTCAAGGATGGTGGAGAAAGACTGTTCGTCAGTGACTGTAATGATAGGACAAGGGGTAATGGGTTCAAAATTAAACAGGGGAAGTTTAGATTAGAAATAAGGAAGAAGTTCTTTACTGTAAGGGTGGTGAGGCACTGGAATGGGTTGCCCAGGGAGGTTGTGAATGCGCCATCCCTGGCGGTGTTCAAGACCAGGTTGGACAGAGCCTTCAGTGATGTCTCCTGGCATGACACAAGGGGTCGGAACTGGATGATCTCAAGGCCCTTGGCAACCCAAACCATCCTGCGATTCTGTTTCCAGGGCATGGATGCAGCAGGGGCTCTTCTCTCTTCCCTGCATTACCCCAGCACACATGCTGCCTAGAGATCCCTGTAAAAGTCTGTGTGACTCCCTCTGAAGTGGGGTGGTAAAACCCACCCCACAAAAGACCTTGCAGAAACAAACTGAGTTCAAAGTGAGGTAAAGCAAATCTCGGTAGGCTGGTATCTATGGTGTGAATGCGGGTATCTGAAGAGCACCATTTTGTACGGGCTTTTTTCTGTCTACATGGTGCTGCTGGGCCTGTTCCTGGGCAGAGCACAGTTTTCATGCGGAAATACACTGCTGCAGCAGGAGCAACAACTGCAGCCAGCAAAACTGCCCCTTACAGGGAAAGACCTTTGTCTGCAGCTTCTGCCAGCTGCAACCTTTCTCCAGACCCAAAGTGTTTTAGTTCCCTCTTTCAGCTGTCCTTGGAAGTAGGACAGACAAAACCACTCCTCACAAGATCATGGCAGGGAAATCTGCCATGAAGTCGCTTGCTTGTTTGTCTTGGCCAGAAGCAGCTAATTGTCTCCTCTGAAGACATTAGAAAACATTAAGGAGGTAATTGTTGCTACAATTAAATCGGTGACAAATCTGACTTGGGTAGGGTCAAGATTTCATCCTAATGAGAAGTCAGTGATACATGTAGTGGGTGTATAACAGGTTCTTATCAGCAACCTGTCAATCCTGCCAAAAAAAATTGCAGCTAATCACAGAGCAGGGTGAAGTTCTCTTCTGATAAATGTCTTTTTGAAGGTACAATTATCCAGACAAAGAAACAATGCCCAAACAAAAGCTTTGCATTGTTACTGACTGCAAAGACATCCCTTTTTGACTTCACTCTGAGCTGTGTGGGCAAATACTGCATCACACCCAATGCCCTGAAAGGGGGTTGCGCATTGTGCCCAAAGGTCCAGCTGTTTCTGTACTGTTATTTTTCAGTAAATGCTTACAAAACTTTACTGTAGTTTGGATCTTCCATCACTGTATTTACATGCCATAATGTATTTTATTGTCAGAATATTTATTTTTTTAAATCAAAATATGGGAGAATACTGGAAAGGAGAATTAAATTTTTTTGCTCCCAACATCAGCACTAAGAAAGGAAAGAGAAGTGTAGTGATTGAGTTATTCTTTCAGGTAGATTTTTCTTTTAATTTTGAAACTGAAAAAAAATCATGTGTTAACGAAAATAACACCAATATATATTAATTTGACTTGGAAAACATCTGAAAATCAGCTTCTCATAGGGGTTATTGTATTTTATATTCACCATATTAGTCCAGGAACTCAAATCCAAATTAGAAAGAAGACTTGATTGCTGGGGTTAATGATAGTTTTCTGAAATATTTCTATTACTAGCTTTATATGCAAGTCCATGTAAGAAGAATTAAGATGGTGTAAAAGAGATTACATTGATACCTACAAGGAACCTTTTGGTTAAGGAGAAACCTACACAGTGGTTGATGTTCCTTCCACTTGGGGAAGCACAGAATGAAGAGAAAAAGCATGAGATAGTCTTCTATGTGCATTGTGATCCTATAGGAGAGCACTGAGGGGGTCTTCTCAGAAGAGTAGGAGTACCAGTGACAGAAAAGACATAGAGGCATTTGGAGGATGCCTGACAGATACTTCTGTGACATCAAGCCCCCCACTCCCTCAGTTGTGAGCATCCAGACTTGGAAGTGTAGGGCACACAGCCAATATGTGAGTGTATCTGGATGCTGGTAAATTGGAAACCTAATTGTAGAACTGGAAAATCGGGGAAATTGCACATAAGTGAAATGTACTCTCTCAGATTAGTAATAAACTGTTACTCTTTAATTTATGTTCTTTTGATTTCAGTTCTCAGGAGTGCTTGCTAAAACTGACAAAGTGGTTTTAAATACAAAGTGGCTTTAATTTGTCACAATTATTTAAAAACTTACAGTATTAATAGTAGGCATACTTTCCTACTAGGACTTTACAGTTTTTACAAAACTCTCCTTTTTTTAATAAAAGTTAATTATGTTGCTTTATATTTTCAGTATGTTGTTTATTTTCTGATATTTTATAAATACGTCTATGAGGGAAAAAATCAGTACTTCAGTGCACAGACTACTTTCATATCTTGGTGTACAAGCTATTATTAAAAAAACAGGGAATAGGGAAGTGTTGACTTTTTAACATAAGTGGTTCTATATGAAAGTAGACCAAGATATACACTTTTCCGTCTTCAAGAAGTGGCTTAGCACTTTAATGCCTCAGTAAGCAAGTAAACAACATTTACCAGATGTCAAGTATGTCCAGGAACAAAAATAAAAGAATACTCGAAGAAGAGGCTTTATGCTTTCAGGACACACAAATACTTACAACAGAGTACAGGGTGAGAGATGGCTCGTGGAGACAGACTCCGAATACAAGGTGATTGGAGAAGGCAGTTCCCTGGAGCACTGCATGGAGATTTGGGGGGGGTGAAGGAGGAGCTGGTTATGGAACAGGTGATTAAAGCAGGACCGGTTCTGGCAGGCCAGGAACTGATGACCCAGTGCTCTGTTACAGTGGTGAAAACATGTGTGCTCAATACACTTCTTGAACACAGTACAGGAAGAGTGAAGGAACAGATGAAGATGAATATAAATCTTGGGGTTTTCCCTGAGGCGCAAGAGCAGAACAAGCAAGGTTGCATGCACTTACTCTGAGGAGATAAGATAATAAACTGCCTCTGTCCTGATGGAGATGATGGAATGTGACCATCTGGGAAAGGATTGTTTTCAGTAGCTGGACTTACTATCTCAAATGTAGAAGATGGACAGATGATCCTCTGTGTATTAGTTACTTTCTCAAAAAAATGAGCCGATTTAGGGTGGACTAGAAAAGTTTCTTTTCACAGTTCTGCAGTGTTTCTGTTCCCGTCACTTTTCATTAATAGCTTTAGAAACAAAAGACTCAATTCACAGGCCAGGAGAAGGAATAACCCCAGCCCTTTCTAGTACTCAGGTGGCTGGAACATTCACTGAGGATGTGGGAAAACCAGTTCACATCCCTGCTCTGCCAGAGAGTATCTGAACCCACATCTTCGCTATGAGATTATACAAAGTGGACGTGCTCTTCCTTCCTGAGGGAAGAGTGACAGCAGCCTGTATTTTCAGCCTTTCTCCCCAGGGAAACTGTGGAAGAAAAGTTACAAAAATTTTCTGAGCTACGCAAATCAGCAGTACTCTGCTTCCATCCCTATTTCAGTGGTACTTTGGACAATCAAATCTTTTCAGGCTCTTCATCCTTTCTATCTTACAGATGCTGGTTGTTTAGAAAAGGAACCAAAAAAGTGAGACAGCATCAAAGAGAAGAAACCTTTCTAGGCAGCGCTCTCTCCAGTGTGATGACATCATCATAAGAGTTTCTAATGCAATGTAATCTGCAAAAATATTACCAAAAGCATGTAATGATTTTAATGGAATACTGAAACACTGTGGTAATATAAGTCTTTGTTAGATGCAGAACTGGTTTTACTACATGTATCTAAAGGGAAGGCAAGCAGGCAACAATAGCATATTTGGTTTGAATTTAAGATTCTTCATTCATTGTGGAGTCATATAAGCCAGAAAAATAATATAATTTGATTTTAAAAGTCGGAGTCACAGCCCTGAATTTGCACTGATGCAGTTATGAAGAGCTGGTCCATTATTACATTTCTTCAGACTATACACACTTTAGTAATTTAGTAATTAAAATTACATAGTAATTAAAATCACTACCCCATAACAATATTTTTATAACTACAGATCCTGGATTCCATACGTGGAGGTTGACACCTCTAAAAGTAAGTTTATATCACCAGTCTCCTTAATTAGCCCCCTGTGTATTTTACTGGGAAAAACAGACTTGATATTGACTTTGGTTTGTGTCCAAAGTCCCAGTACTTACCAAAATAAATATTTTGCTTCTGGAAAACAAGAGGATTCTTCTACTGAAGGACCAATTAAAGTTGCTCCTCAAGTAGGCAGAGTCACCCAACCAGAAGACTGAAGTCCCTCGCATGTGGAGGCTCATTTTGGAGTCTAATTACGTAGCCTCAAGACCACAAAAATTAGATACTCATAGGAGATTTTATTTATTGAAATAATGTCTTTTGCTTGTTAGCTTGTGTTGCAATAAGGTAGGAATAATTTTAACAATAGCCAGCATTTCTGATAAACAATACATTCACTGAATCCATTGTGGCCAGCAGATCCCACCTGTGTCTGTCAATAGAAATGAGCTGTTCCTTTCAACATGGGGGAAAAGTTAAGAATTTTTTAATCCCTTCAGTGTGTCACTTGCCTAATAGTAAAGTGGGAATTAAATTCCATGGAACTACTGAAATGCTTAGTGAAAACCAGCTGAATACTTTATACCTGACTTATTCCGAATGTTATGTGCATGTATAGAAAGTAAAACTATCCTGAGAACAGATAATGCATTTTTCGAATAAATGCTGTACTTCATTGTAAACTGCTTTGCAACATGAGCATCACAAACATTCTTAATATTCTATCAGCGAAGATCATTAAAATACAAACATACAAAAATAATCTTGAATTACCTTAAAAATCTGTTGGTTTTTTTTTCATTTATTTTAGTCTGAGCACATTCCCCTGTTATTTGGCATGTATAAATTATTAAATAGAGAGAGTCAATATAATGATTACTGTAACAGAGACTACTAGCTACTTTTTCTAGATTGAATTTTTTCTTAGCCGATTTCTTGCTGCCATAAAAGATTAACTCATAAAATCACTTTTATTTAGCAAGAGATGTCGAAACATCCAGCAGGTCTAACTGGTTTTCTTACAAAGTCAAAATAGTATGTGGTTTTAGTACTGATCCATGTTTCTGTCAGCTGCTGTGCATAAACCTGCTGAGTAATTAATTCAGACACAGCAACTTTGGGAAAATTCAGTGCTAGTAGGAAAACTTTTAATGTTTGATTATTCATGCATGAGTGGAACCCGATAGCCTTAAAGATGTTCTCAGTTCTTGGGATTCAGATTCCAGTTGTTCTGTGTGGGTCAGGTATGTATAATTCCAGTTCAGCTCAATAGTAATGTAGCTGTACATTAGGTCATTTTCACCTTGAGAAACACTCCAGTATCCTGTAATCTTTTATTGCAAGTATGATAGCCTGACTCATAAACTAAGATGACCTCACAGTCTGATTGGATTTACTGGAGCTGAAAAGCACCCAGAGAAAGGCTAGGCTGCATGAGAATTTCTGAGAAAGACTAAATCTATGGAGAATATTCTGCTGTGATGCCATGGATAGGTGGTGGTATTCTGCGTCATTTCACTGTTCCCATTTTTTAACCCTCCTAGGTCCTGGAAGGGTGTGGGAGAAGATATTTTGGGTATCATTAGATATGACCTGTACATCTCTAGTATGCATAAACTGTTCTCTATTCCACAGGTTGCCCAACTCCTTTTAATTTCTCCTGCCTCTTGAATACTGTCATGTGGTTTATTTGGGACCCTACTCTAGGTCAAGTGTGGTTTTCAGTAAAGAAGATGAGAGAACAATAACAAAGTCTGTTCATACAACATCAAATGGAGCTCTATCTTCAGGGCAATATATTGCAGGCAGTATAATGTACTTCAGGAAGAGCAAGAAATGCCAAAGCTCTTACCTACCCTGTGCACACTGTATTTGGCTTGTGCACAGTTCATGTTTTAGGTTTGGTTAACTGACCTCAGTGACGCTAATGCCTAAGATATTATCAATAAAATTAAAGGGATTAGTACTCTCTTCATGAGTTGAAGGATTAGGATTTAGGAGCCTAAAGAATGGTGGTAAAACAAATGAAACCACAAATATTAAAGCTGTTTCAGAATTTTTGACAGTAAGTACACAAAGTTTGCCATAGTTTTTCCATATGAGCACCACAGATAAAGATTATCTGCTGTTAGAAGAATGGTTTCTCTTTTCTTCTCTGGAACATCTAATAAAACAACTGTGACACAAATACCATGAAGTGAACGTTCTCCACACTGTATTTTTAGAATTTCATCTCCTGTTACTATGGATTAAGGATGATCTGATAGCAGCTGCCCCAAAGTGTGAACAGGACTACAATCTGCAGAAGCAGAAAGCAGTTCTGAAATGCTTATTTAAAGATAGGTAGAGTTGTGATAGAATTAAATAACTGTTTCAATTTGTTGAGGATATACTGATAAATTATTACATTCAATAACTAGGAAGTAGAACAGAAAGCTACTGTAGCAGTTAATGGAGACATACGTTTCATACTGATGTTCAGATTTTAGTCTTGGAAGTCTTTCAGATTTCTGGCTACTAAAAATTTCTGTAGCCTCTCTGTATATGCAAGAGTGTTCTTGGACATTAACCATCTTGTTAACTCCTCTCTAAAGAAAAAAATTAATAAACACTTTAGACTAATAAGCTTCTGTTATTGAGTGCTATAATTATGGTTGGAATCTTAAGTTTTGTTAATGATTTCTCACACACTGTAAACATTTCAGTAATTTAAAATGTGTGTGTTTGAGCTACATATAATCATTACAGGTTAAAAAAATTAAATTGTCAAACAGCAAGGAAGTAAATACCTATCTTCAAACACCCTTCCAGTTTCTGTTGGACATTCATGCATGGGGAGCCACAGCAGCACCTCTGCCCCAGGCTGTCATGCAGAGCTTACTCTCTTCTGCAGTGCTTTCTATCCCACAGCACATCCTGTGTTGCTCTCACCATCTTCATCACCTGAGCCCCTGCAGCAGCAACACTGCACCAGTCCTTCATCCTCCCCCTGCCTCAGCCCCCTCAGATCCCTTCAAGCCTGCATCCTGACTACTCACTGCTGTCTTTCTGTTTTCCTGTAGGATTTCCACAACTCCCATCACTTTGTTGCTTAACACAATTTCAGTCTGACTAAAAGCAGCGGATGGCAGTGCCTCTGCTGAAGCCCGGCCTTGCAGCCACACAGAGAAACACAGAGGTGAAACGGCTGCTGTAAACCCATTTGTCCAAAATGGAAGGTGGCATCCATGCTGAGGAAGGAGAAAATACATTGAGGAATAGCTGCCATCTGCCTCATGGCAAGGTTTGAACTGCTGCCGTCAGGAAAGCTGGCAGTGCTGCAAACAAGAATGGCTTATTTATCCAGGAAGGATGGGGTGATGTGGAAGTGTACATCCAGCAAACCACAGGGAAGACACACATGTGCAGACACACACAAAGTTAGGGTAGCCACCACAAAGCACAAACCTTTGGAGCTCGAGACCTACAGCAGTTCTGTGCTTTCTCCCCAGGCAGCCTCAAAACTTTTCTGAGCACAACCGTAATCTCAGTGACATCCTAACAGGAGGAGGAAGAAGCGCCTCCAAGCCACATGGCAACCTGCACCTTCATCTGGCTTTGGCAGAATCCCAGCAGTATCATCTGAATGGTTCCATAATTACAACCACAACACATTTTTCAGCCCCTACAGGTGCTGTCTCTTTTTCATTAATTATATGGGAGGGGAAGAGATGACTGCAAATACTGAATTCTTTAGAGTTGTGGTTGTCAAGCAGCATCTATATCTTTACAGAAAATGTAGTTCTGCTTTTCAAAAGCAGCTAAAATTTTGGTGGGGATCCAGTACTGAAGTGCTCACATTTGCCATTTCAACTCATTCCTTGAAACACATTGCACATAGGTGCTCTTTGTCAGAAAAGTTTTCAAACTGATGCAGACATTCCTTATAAATATAGATGGCTTCATTGCAGAGAAAGAACATTAAGAATGCTTTTATAATGTCTATTTAGGCTGCTTGCTTTTCTGCACTGGTCACAAAAGAAACAACATCATTTTGGAAGCCATAATGACAACATACTGCAAAATAGGGAAAATTGTAACATAGGAGGTAAGAAGTTTGTAAGAACCAGAGGCAAAGCTTCTTCTTGCAGGAATGTGAAAGGTGGGTTTTGTTGAATGACTCCTTTAAATGCAGGTGAAATGGCTGTCAGCTCCCAGGTCACACGCTCAACACAAACGTAATTTTATGTTATAAAGTTATAATACCGGCCTCTTTTGGAGCCAGACTTAATCGGCAAAATGCAGCATGAGGCTTATCACACAACCTGACAGATACTTGAAGCATTGCTGTCTTGCATTTTCAGAATGGTCTCCTGGAGGCTTTTCTACATAAATAGAACCAACCTGACCAAAAATGTATTTTAAAAATAAGTTTGAAGCCTGCCTTTTCATGAAGTTGTTTTTTTTAATAAACGATACTAAAACCTGTGTGAAAAGGTAGAAAGTATTGAAAGTTTGAAAGTATTTTAGGTTGTACTTCCCTTTGGTAAGGCTACCTCAATTTTTTTACCATTCAGGATGAAGTCTAAGCACTCATAGGTATATAGAAAGTTCTGACTGTCTTTACAGTTATTAGAGGGTTGTCTGTGTCTATAGTTATTTTTACACAATTTGCTATTTCAAAAGAAGTTGCCTGTAAATCCAATTAGGTGGGGCAAACAGAATTTTGTTGGTCTGTGGTGACTCATTTATGAGAGAAACAGCTCAAATTAGATTGTGTGAAAGACATTGTTTTTTGGTATGGACACTGGTTATATTTAAATGATGTTTGACAAGGACTTCTGTAATCACTTGGAATCTCACCCTGTTGCCAGATTCAGCACAATGCATCCTATGAATCCTTGTTGACAGTTCTTTCCAGGCTACCTACAGATCTCATTTATTCTGTGGCCTTGATATTGCTTAGGATGCCTAGGATTACTTAGAATGAGGATGCATTCTTGGTTGTGTTTTATGCCTGATGGTTTTCCTTGGTTTTAGTCTGTAATTTTGGCAGCCCAGCAGCTGCTTCATCAACTAGCCTCATAATGGAGGCAGAAACATCTGAACTAGGGGCACACATCCAGCTGTGAACAGCATCTTCTGTAGCCACACCAGTGTAACCTGCTGGAACCAGAGCACTAAGAGAAACAAGATAAATGGCTATTGTACTTTAAATTCACACCTGGGTTGCTTGTTCTGTGACAGCTTCTTCATGCAGATGACAGGAATGGACCCTGGCCAGTTTTCATTTGCTGAAGGAACGTTTTGCTCCTGGGGACTTGAATGGGTCTGCCTCCATTAGCAGTTAAGAGCACAACATAAATGTTTCTGTGATGTGAATTGCTCTTGCCTGTGAATCTTTTACATTTGATGTTCTTTAAGTTACATCACTAAAAGCCTTTGGAAGACAGGACCTAGATTTCGTCCTGTAGAAGCTTAGCTGGAAATTGCACACTAGGGGTTTTTCTAACACACCCCAAAGGTAATGGGAACATGTAATCTTTGGGCTGTTGAGAAAGAATACAGAGGCTGATCTGTTATTTGAATTGTACTCCAATATCAATTCTTCCTTTATCCTGAGTAAGAGCAATACCAACACAAAGGTGAACTTGTAAAGCTCTTCATGGCTGAGACTTCTGTAGAAGTGCTAGGATGTCCTTTTTTTATCTGAGCAACATGATGAGACTTTTAAAACTGTAAAGAGAGGGACTTTCCAAAATGCCTGTGTTGTTGGTATGGTGTAAGAGCCTTCCAAAAGAGTTAGCTAATCCTCAGTGAGTCACGTTTTTAACGGAATTCTGTTTTAAATAAATTATCTTCTACACTTTCTCCACTCTGGGGTATATGCTGAGTGACTATAATACTTGATGTTCTGGTATTTCAAGTTACCAGGTCATCTGTGAATGTTTCTGAGACTCCTCTTCCTATAGAACCTAGCACCTAAATGAAGGTAACAAGCAAATGGCTATAGTCTGAAGTCTTCTTTTGCTGATGGAGATTGCTGAATTCACATGTGCTTGCTGGGTATCAGAGATTACTGTTGTAAGCATCTACCACTTCTGACAGCAGTTGCTTATCAGGTCTAAATTTGACTCTCTTAAATTTAAATTGGCAAGGCTTTGTCCAATATGCTTAGTAACTGATTTGTGATCACTATTACTCTACATGTACTCTTTTTACAATACTTTTACAAACAGTTGGCTTCAGACAGACTGATGTAATCTGTCTTTCCTCTAATGCAAAACCTGTAACGGTCATTGGATTGCATGTTGTCATCTGGTGTGTAAACATGCAAATCTTGATCGATGAATGGACGACATAGCCGCATAGTTTTGGAACAGGCTTTAATTCTGACTGCAGGCGTAGTAGTCATTATGCTCAGAGGAAGCATTTTCTCACGTCGGTCCTCCACTGTTTCTTGTGTGATTTTATAGTTTCACATAAGTAGAAGTCTGACGTTTCTTTCTAAACCTAACTTGTAGAGATGAGTCCTTAAATAAGAGCAGAAGAGATTGTAACCAGAAGAGATTTGTAAACTAAGCTTTTGAATAAAGCCAAAACCAAAGAACCAATTTTTTGATCTTATATATAAATTAATTGGCACATTACACAATTTTTACCATTCACGTAACTGTGTTGAATGTGGTTGTGAGTTCCATAGGAGCAACTTGCAAGCCTCAGAATTGTTATCTCGGCCAATGTGCAAGATTCCAAATTCAGGATCATATAGTGGGAAGAATTCCTGATGTGTAGGAAGTAGTCCCTGATTTTGGTTTCACTGATCCCTGCCATCCTACTGTGGCCCTTCCCTGGCTCCACCACCTCTTATCCTGGCACAGCTTGCCCAGCTCTGTCTAGCATGGAGGTTGCCAGCATTGAAGGGAAGTGCTGTGCTTTAAATTAATGAAATTTTGACACCAGTGCAAGGAAACATGAGGCAAAGACCCATTGAGTGAAGGTCACGCACAACCTAGAAAATCTGACAGGTTGGTGAATAAATTAAGGTTTACAGGTGGATCAGGATTAGGAAAAACTGGGTTCTAAGAATCCTACAGCCCTAGATTAAGTGCTGTTCCCCTGTTCAGTATCATTCTTTGTGATTATTTCCAGGCAAAAAAAATCAGATCATTAATTGTATCTGGTTCGGACTTTGAAGGATTTCTTAACAAACAGCAAGACTATATTTTAAATGATATATTCTCAAAGAAAATAAGATGTTGATGCAAATGCATCCTCTCACAAGCCACAGGTAAATTGGCCTGTAGCATCTCAAGCTAGTGCTCATCAGAATATCACTTTCAAGAAAGGACATTTCTCTAAGAGTAACTGGAGGGAAATTGAGTCCAGTTCCATTACCTTTTGTAACTGAAGAGAACTGAATCATCTGTTTCTTGTCAAACCACCCACTTTGTGTAGTCACTTGTGAACAGTTTGTATGCTAAGAGAAAAAATGGCACTTTGCATTATATAGGGTGTTAAATCTACTATGTCAGAGGTTTGTTTAAGTCCTCTTGCCACCTGGTTTCAATGTGGAGATGAAAAAGGACTTATCTTCCAGCCATTTTGGCACAGGATAGCCTCTGCTAGAGTGCCACAGAGATCCTGTAATTCACAGGATACCTTCCAAAATTAATCAAGGGACCTAACCTGCACTGCAAGTTTTGAGCCATCCATCTTTGAATAGTTGAGAAAGAAGTTACTGCCTGCCGACAAAACCTTAGGGCAGAGCGAGGTAATAAAGAACTGGTCTTTAAGTCAGGTTTTGATCTTGATACTGTGTGGTTCCTGGCTCACAATTCAGTATTTTAATTGCAAAATAATACTTTGTGATTGATGAGTGCATATGTGGCAACTTTAACCAAGTATTGATTATTTTGAAAAAATGCACATGATTTGTTGTACGTGATGGGGGGGCGACCCTAATGAATCACAGAAGAAAAACATAAATTGAAACTTAGGTTGGATGTTTGTCTTTCTAGATTCCACAAGATTGATTTTAAGTCTAGAAGCTCAGTGAAGATAATGAAGATATGAGACTGTACTTTCACAAAGGTTGTTTGACTTATACTAGTGAACCTGAACTGTAGTATTTGCAGATTTCCTGTAAGTAAAAAGTGTAAATTTTTACCAAGTAAAAGAACCAAGTACCAGTAAATGGGAAGTGACTGAGTAAATACAGCATTTAGAGACTGAAAACAGAACAGATGAATAAAATATTTTTTTCTAAAGCTCTCAATGTGTTTAAAACAACAAGTGATAATATAAGGGTAGTCTGTGATCAGAAAAATAATTTTAAAGTGATATTTACTATGGTCTAAAAATTGAAGTAATAGAAACCAAGAGGAGGAAAGGGCACATACCAGGAACACATTTTAATCCAATCAGCCAGTTAGGTAATCAATTAAACAACACAACAAGAGCAAACAGATCAATGGTTCTGTCTTCAAATGAAAACAAATGTGCTTACTTACCAACATTTGCATCTTTAAGATAAGCATAACCTCCTTTCATGCCAGCTAAAATTGTTGATGTTGCCTCTTTTTTCCCTAAATAATTACTTTTACATTCACTTGTGTTGCCCTTACGTGACCTTGAGCAGAAAGACTTGCTGTCAGAAAGGAGTCACCTGTTGATACCATGCAGCTTTTGTGAGCACATCCCACAGTAGGAGATACGTTCACAGAACTCATTCTCCTTCACCCTGAAGTCACAGATTAAATCTACCATAATTGGAATTAAATAGAATTAATTTATCATGATTGCTTTTCCATAGCTTCTTATCTGTCAGGGACAGTTCCTAATGGATGAGTGCCTTTGTGGCAGCTAGACTACTAATGGCATGTTCAGGTTGTTTTATGAGTGGTGGAAGGAGCCACCACATTCAATAGGACTAGTCCACTACAGTCACAGGAGATCCTGTGGTATGGGTGTACTTCACAAGCATCCACAAATCATTCCACTTTGCGTGCAACTGTGAGCTTGCTGCACTTAAAACTGAACTGAACTAGACTTGAAGTAGGAGGTCAGAAAGCATAATGCAGGAGAAGACTTCTTAGGAAGGACTGTTTCAGTGTGGAATAAAAGTACCTCTTGTAGTATTAAAGGACTTTTTTCTTTAAAATAAAGGAGGAAGACCTCAGGAAAGAGGGAAATGCAGTGCTACTTCCTGATCCATTTCCAGAATGAGGCCAAGAAAGCTCTATTCCCAGAGTTTGAACTGAAACTTCTAGCAACCCTACATTTAATATTAACAGTAACTTTGCTGCTTGTACTGGTAAATTCAACAGGAAGACTTCCAGTCATAAAGCCTTTGCTATGTGGATATGGTTCTTTTTAGCCTTGAGCTGTGTGAAGCAGCGTCCTGGGCTTAAAACGCAACAAGCAGGCATAAAATGCTCTTGTTCTGCCTTGTGTACAAGTAAGCAGTAACACATTATATACAGTAAAGGCAAGAAAAAAACAGGTTTGTCATTCTCAAGTTTGAGAAATCTTGGGAATGCTTCTGAAATCATACTTCTTGTGAAACAACTTGTTGCAAGAAGTATAACTGATATGATTGATGGTTATGGTGATACTGGCTGCAATAAATTAACCCCCTCAGGGGTTCATTTACCCCAGGGAAGAAAACCAGCTGGAGCCACAGCTGCACTGGCAGCAGATGTCACAGCCATAATGCTCATTGCCCTTAGGTGTAAGATATATGGGAAAAAACTATTTACATGGAAAAGCAAAACACTAGTATAAGGCTGGCTGAGCTCTGGAGACTGACGGCTAGTATCCATAGCTGAAGGTCAGGTGAAACACAGTTCAACTTTCTGGGTTTAATAAATGTAATAGTAGGCTTAGCTGATATGCAAATCTATTGGTTCTGCAAAACACAAGTGAAAATTTAAAACCAAATCTTTATTGCAAGACTTTGTTTTCCTATTATTGTGAAAGAACATGAATAAGCTTCTCTGAATATGTAAGCACTGTGAAAATGCATGGTACTCTAAGTCAAACATGTCTTCAGTGCCTCATTGTTTGCATTCAATTACAGTTTATAGTAACTGGACAAAAAAAGTTAATTGCAAAATCATCTTCAAATTCTCTTCCCTGCTCCCCACATGAAAAAGCTGCCTTTGTTTAATCTTCAGGTTTGGTTTGCAACTTAGAAGTCACAAGGAAAACCAGAGTTTTCAGTGGGGCATTTTGCTGATAGGGGAATGCAAGAATACGCATTGTAATTTTTCTGGCTGGCAGTAGGCAAGTGTAAAGGTTAATGGGATCCAAAGGCACTCTGAATTCTGGGAAGGCTGGTGAGAGACTCAGCTTACTGCAATTCACAGCAGCTGTGGGATGTGAGAGAGCTGGTATTTTCTCAACCTGCTTTCTTGTCACTTGGGTTTTAGCTGCTTTGCAAAGGCCAAGTTCCAGTGATTGCTGTCCTCACCTATCCTTGGCATTATGTCTTACTGATAAAACTGTTAGAAAGAAGCCAAGCTGCTGTGTTCTGCCTGCAGTTGCATGGTCCAGGTCAGGGCTCAGAAGAGAAATTCACTTGGCACTCAAAGGAGCAGTATGTGGAGTTCATTACTTGCTATGAGTCACCCACCCAAGCTGCCACAGAGAAGATCTTTTGTATTTTCTGCCTGCTCCTGGCTCTTGTTGCTGTTGTGAGACAGGAAAAACAAAGCATCCTTTGACTCTGTTTTTATTTTAAGATGTATTTTCTCCTCTTCCCTTATTCAGTATCGGACATCTAAAAAGCACTGAGATACAACTGACTTCCCTGCGGCTTTCACAAACAAAATTCCCAGAAGAGTTTGGAAGAAACCTGTGGACATCATCTACCCCATCTCTTACTTCAAACAGAACTTGTCCTGGGGCTGAATCAGATTAGCCATGGTTCTGTCTAGCTGAGTCTGGATGAAGGTCTGTCAGCCTCTGTCAGCATGTGCAGTGTAACATGACTAGAAACAGAAGCCTTATAGTCAAGGCTTTCCTTTTTTCACAAGTTTGCTGCTCAGTAGAAATGCAGTCAGGAGAGGAGAGACTGAGTAACTTGTCTTTTAAATCCGGAAGATAATTCTGCAGCAGGTAACTTTGATACAAAAGTAAATCATGAAGGAATGTTTTGCATGTGTTTTTATTTTATTTTGGTGATTTTCATGAAGCATCAGCTTTTAGAATCATACCAACTAAGAATGTCATCTTACTCTGCTTTGTGTGGAAGTTTCTAGCAGTATTGATTGCAGAAATATAATGTAAATTCTGACTTTAGCATACTCCCAAATTTAATAGCTTAGAGCCCCTTTGCCATGCAGAAGAAAATGCCCACTTGCCACCAAGCAGGAAGTTTCCAACTGTATGGAGCTCTGAGGGAAAGTGTAGATGGTGGAGAAGTGCTTCAGAGAGGTGTTGCTAATGAGGAGACCCTGGAGCAAAGGTGATTATAACAAAGCAGCAATTCTCTATTCCACCTGCAGGTACAGAGTGGTAGGCTAGCACCAGGTGCTGGAAGGAACACTTACCTTTCCCTGATGGGACTGGAGCCTCTGGCACAGTTTTGTATTTTCTTCTCTGTTTCCTCTCAACCCACAGCAAAGGTTTTCTGAGAGGTAATTATAATAGGATTAGTGTGTGGTGGGAGTAAATGTGGTTATTTGTGGTGTGACTTGGGAAGATGGAGTTAGGAGAGTAAAGGAATATTCTGTTGGATTGTCTGAATTCTCAAAATCCTGGGTAAGGGCTGATTGAGTTGGTTATTTTTACTTAAGGGCAGTTCCCTTATCGTAAGTTTTAAAGTGCAGTAATGCAGAGGAAGACCTGAGGGTGATGGAGAGCAAATTGGACAGGAGTTCACACAATGTGATGAAGCTGCAAAAAAATGAGTACTGTACCAGATATTTAAATAGGGTATGACTTTTAAGGACGGGAAAATAATTCTGCTTCATGCAGCTTTGTTTACACTTGGGAATACTGTGTGCAGGTTTTAAAAGATTTTGCAAAATCTCTGGAATCCTAGACAGCTGACAGTAATCCTAAGGTTTTGGGGAATCATTCCTGTGGAAATAACAAAGGAATTTCAGTCTAGAGAGAAAAAAGCTGAGACTACAATCTGTTCCTCGGCCTGGAATAACCTATGATATTTCAGTCATGTGAGACAATTACTGATACAAAACACACGGAATGTTCTGAAATCAAAATAGCTGTCCTGCTATTTAATTCTCAATGAGCTCTTGGTGATTTGCCCTGTTTCAAGAGAGGCCTTATGTACCTCTTCAGGCCAGTGAGGTATTTCCTGCGTCACCAGAAAATTGTCAGATACATCAAACCCAGGATGATGCTAGGCACCGGATTCCTTCATATCAGTTTGACTGCCAGCATGCCTTGAAAATACAAGTTACTCTTTTCTAGAATTTCACAGCATGTGAATTACTACTTCTGAACAAACATAAATGAATAATACATACTTCTTTCCATGCACAGAGATAGCAGCATATCAATCATAAAATGTGCTTTATCTAAAAACATGGGGCCAAGTAAGTATGGTCTAGTGTGAAGTGTCCCTGCCTGAGGCAGGGAGGTTGGAACTAGATGATCTTAAGGTCCTTTCCAGCCCTAACTATTCAACAATTCTATGATTCTATGATTAGTAGATGGGTAGGTTACTATGGATCAATACATTTGTAGGTCAAGGTATCTGGCCATTTGATTGGTACGGTAAGATGTAAATATACTTGATTAAAATGAGGCAAACAGCTGATGATGTAATTAGGACCTGCATCTACAAACTCCAAACACTGGTTGCAGTGTTTCCAGTGTGTAGCACATTAAAATGCTGGACTCTGTAACAGTGAGCCCCCCCGAAAAAAAAAAGCATAATTATTTTATGTAAGCATATCTATGAATTTTCTAATCTCTGTGTTTGTCCAATTGTTTTACAAATAGTTAGGAAAAAGCAGACCCTTAGCTAGTTTGATCTTTGTCCCTGGATGTTACATCTTTAACTCATCTTGTATAGATAGAAATATCATGGATGCCAAACACCGATGGGATGTCATGCACATTTTGATCCTGCTTTAATGTCCGAGTAGAGGCTGTGTGGCTAATGCCAGTAAAAGTATACAGCCTTTAAACTGCATGACATTATAAGCCAGTTTCGCTCCGCAGCAGGAGGAGGCTAAGTAGCTGGAAGAGTTGATAACTGGAAGTAAAACTCTTTGCTTCTAGGTGTAAGTAGTTAGTAAATAATTATCTCTTATTAAATATCCAATGAGAGAATTAAGACACTGTTTTTATGGGCCTTCTCTACATGAGAAAAGCAGCACATTTAAACAAAGTTGAAACAAGTCTGAAAAGCTGAACAACGTTTCAATTAATAACTGCTTTTGAGAAGGATTTTTTTTCCCTAAAAGACAAATACTTATGAACATAATCAATCGTTAGCTTTCTTTTATGTTATTTGTAAATTAGGTCAGATGCATTCAAGCTGTACTGCTGTCTGTTTTCCAGCATTCTATATTGGACCCAAGCTACAGCAAAGCCAGGGATAACATTGTGAAAGATCTGTTTCTAGTGATGTGAGTGGGAGCTTGCAGGAAGTGTTGCTGCGCTTCAGTGTTTTGTGCCCTTGAGGATCCTTGCTGATGGCTGAATCCCAAGGGGCTTTTTGTAACACAGATTGAGTTGTTTTTCTGGCTTCTTCAATGCCATCACAAATATATCCCATCAAGTGCAAAAATTCCCATGAGCACGTGCCCTGTCCTGCCGTCACAGTCTTACTTCTCTCTGCAAAATGACTATGTTATGTTCAGGATCACTTTCCTCTTCTATACGGAAGACATTTTATAGTATGTATCTGGGTTGAGACAGCAGCTGTCAGCTCAGGTACAATGGATCTGACTCACAACAGAAGTCAAGGGATGAGGCAGCCCCTTCTTGGAGACTGATTCAGGACCACTTCTGATCTCATTACTCTGTGCCGGACAGCAGAGGAGCTCGAGGCCTTCCTTCAATGTATAAGAGGCCACGGGTTTGATGATGAATGGACACACAGGCAGCTTTATCAGGAGAAATAGGATGGGCTCTGGACATGACAGACGCTGTGGGTTGGTTTGTTGTTGGTTGGGTTGTTTTGTTTTTTTTTCTTGCTGTGTTGTGATTTAAAAGCATGGCATGAAAAATGTCATAGAAACCTGAATGCTGCATTCAGTAGCCAGGGCTACTGTTAATGCAAATTGTCTTTCCAAAAGCCTGGTCTGAGACAGAAGGAAGGGTTTTACACATACATATAAGTATAAATATCTTCTATGAATCTTTCCCCCCATCTGTCCCCGAGGAGGCCAATTGAGATGAGTACTGCAAGGTTTTGTTTCTTTGGGTTTGTGCCTTTTCACATTCTTTTTTTTTCCTGAACATCGGCCTCATACTAATTTCTTGGCCTTTGGCACAAATGGTTTGCCAATATTTGGAGTCTCTTCTGGCTTCTCTCTATCAATAACAGAATTTAATCATCCTTGGTATTTATTTGTTGCAACTTTGTGTGCTTAATTGCTCTGACACAGTACCCAAATAGACTTCCATGACCAACTTTTAAACTTACAGTAGCCAAGTGTGACTTTCCAACTGGTCCTGTACAACACTGAGCCCTACAGTTGCTCCTGAAGAAGACAATTTGTGCCTTCTGCTGGGTTGCTTTTAGTGTTTTGATTCCCCTCAGCTTCTAATAATGCAAAGCAGAAAACATTTATGCTTCTTCAACCCATTGCCTTGCAATCAAGTGAGAAATCAGAGAAGCCTATTTACCGAACTGGCTTAACTGCTTACCATACCGGCTTTAACCCTGGGCAGGAGTTTCTGTTTCAGGTGTCATCACACATGGGAAAATTTAATTACTCCTTCCTTTAGTCTGAATAAAAGGTACTTACCAGACCTGTGTGAGTAATGGATTCTGGTGTGGGGCAAGGATAAAACTCAGGTGTAAAATTGTTTGGACTTACTCAATATTAAATATATATTTCTGACTGGAAAAGAAAATGTAATTTTGGGATTAAACTTGTTTTAATTGAACAGGCATTAAAATTATTCACTTAATTCAATCCAGCTGTAATTCCTTCCAGATTTCATAGATTTGCCTTTCCTCAGTATAATCTCTGGTCTCTGAAAATGTCTTCTACCTCTAGTGTTCAGTACATCCATTTCCTTTCACTGTGCTGGTAAATTAGTGACAGCCTTTTTTTATGACTACTAAAATAGACTTTTAGGGATCATAGCTTGAAAGTGCCTTTTTCCATCTGATGCAAATTTTCAGAACCAATTTGGTTTTTATGTTTATTTTCTGGTTCCTCCTTTCACTGCTTGCTCTCCCCAGATACTGAGCAGTGCAGAAAGCTGTCTGATCCTCTTTTGCCAGCCCTTCAGCTGAATGTGGCATTCCTCATGTTTTCCTTTACTTCCATTTATCTACTTATATTCATGGCTCATCTTCCCTTACCACATGCTTAGACTGTGTTCAATATTGTAGTCATTTCTGAATCATTGTTAATTTCTGCCCTGTCCTATACCCAGTACTTCTTCACGTATGTACTTGGTGAAGCTCTTCATAATCCTCTTACCCATTCGCCCAGCATTACTAACATGGACTCATTTTTTTTTTTGATGTTCTTGCTCTTTCTGAAGTCCTTGAAATTTGTCTCTTGGAATATAGCTTTTTACATTCGGAAAAAGATCTTTTCATG